AAAAAACGAAAGAAAATGGATTCCTGTTTTGAAACGAAGCTTCTGTCCTGAAGAGTTAGTGTTGGGCTCACCTTTGGGCTTGCCCTGAAGAGTTAAGGTGATGGCTCCCCGACGGCGCCTTCTGCAATTATTTTCTGGGCTGTCTGTGGCACCCGAGCTCCGCAGCAACCCCAGGGCGCAGATACCCCCATCAAGACCACATCACAGAACGGCTGCAACGGCTCGGAGACGTTCAGTAACTTAATTCGCGGTCGTACTTGTGCTAAGTGGAGAAGACGCCAACCTCCCGCTATCTCAAGGTTCATCCACACAGCTGCCACGGGGAGCCTGGCGTGTCCTGCCTGCTCCCGAGATTTGTGGGAGCCACCGAGCTCCACGAAGATGCCCAGACCCTGTTCTGAAGCCCCAACTTTTGGATGCAGAGTCTCATGGAGCCAACGCAGGTCGCAGAGCTGATGATGACAAGGACGATGCCATGCGCCCTTCTCCTGAATGCTGGGATTCAGGCGTGCGCTTGTGCGCCACGGGGGCTGCACGCTGGACTTACGTTTCTCTTGGCAGCCCTCACAGGATCAGGAACAGAAGTGAACCACGATGGGTTCAGTGGCCACCAGCCAAGAAGCCCCCAGAAAGGTCTTTCATCGTCCCAAAGACTACCCTTGTCCCCATCTCTCCACAAGGTGCCCGAACAGGTGCAGAAGTGACTCACTGGCAGAGACACAGGACAGGACCACAACACATGCTGTGGGGACTGGAAACATTCCTTGCTTTTAGTAACTTCTTACAAGTCAGCGGTACTCCTCCCTCTCAAAACCGGCTCTGTGGTTTCTCCTGAAAAAAAAAAAAAAAGATGGCTCTGGCAACTTTGGACCCGTTTGCGGAAGGCAGTGCTCTGTGGTGGTGGAGTAACAGCTCCTGAATAACACGATCCAGGTCCCAACGTGTTCCAAACACTGCTCGCCCGTTGGCTTCTCCTGGTCTTGTGCTTTGAATGCTCACCTGGGAAGACATCATCATATCTGGACGAGTCAGTGTCCCGGACACCCTGGGGTCAGCACAGGCAGCTAGCTGCCCTTCTCTTCTGTCAGTCACCTCAGGTTTTTGCAAAGTCCTTGCCCTGGCATGGTGTTGTTGAGAGCTGATAGGCTCGTGCCCCAGCAGCTTCTGACGGTGCCAGGACACATTGTGCAGTGGCCCACGGACGCCTCATCCTGTGACACAACTGTACTGTGCTGGGCATGGTAGTGTGTCCTTGGAATCCTAGCTCTCAGGAAGACATCAAGTCGTAAGAATCTGGTCTGGAGTGTGTGGTGGTGGCACACACCTGTAATCCCAGTGCTCCGGATCTCTGTATGAGACCAGCCTGGTCCACAGAGTGAGTTGGGGATAGGCAAGGGGATGTAGAGAGACCCTGTCTCATAAACTACATCAACAACAATAGCCTGTACCACCCCCCATTTGCCACATACTAAAACCAGGCGCAGAGGCCGCTGGTGTTAACCTTCCAGTGGGATGGTGGCCAACCTGGAATCTGCTACCCTACAAAATTACTGTGAAGTCCAGTCTAGGGTGTCACAGCTTAAAGAAGTCAAACTCGTCAAAGCAACACAGAGAAAAGGCACCGAGGCAGCCGCTAATAAGAGCCAATGTCCCCCTAACGCGGGCTGTGTTGTTCCTCTCTTCTAGAGGGCAACGGGGCCTCCGAAACTGGCCACTGGTTTCATAGAAAAATCACAGTGCCCCGACACGGTTTCCTGGTCATAAACGTCTTTCGTTCATGAGTTTCCTGCACAGCATCCCAGCGGGGCCTTTGCTAGACCTTCCTTTCCTCTGACCATTCCCTCCCTCTGATAGCCCTTTCCAGCTTAGTGAGTGGGAGTGCCAAGGCTCTTTGACAAGCCAACACATGCTGGCTTAATTGAGCACGACAGGGCTGGGCTACAGCTCAGTGGTAGAGCATCGCCCAGGGCAATCAAGCCCCAACCCATCCCATCGGTGCCAGGAATCTGCCCCCATCTGATCTTAACATCTTTCTTGGCTCAACATTCCAGAGGGGGAATCCGTTGGCTCCACTCCGGGTCACAAGTCCTTCCTGCTGTGGTCAAAGTGTGTCCTGGGTATGGGGTTGTGGAGGCTTGTCCTGATCCTGGTCAGGACACAGAATGGACCAAGTGGATCTGGTATCCAGGGGGACCCTGTCACTTAGCAAGACATGGTGTAGATTAGCATCTGCCCAGGATGCACAGCGTTCTGTGGAGTTACTTCCAGCAGAGGAGCATGTTCTACTGGGAGAGCATACCGGCTAGTTTTTAGAGTCAGGGGCTGGGAGGAAATGCATTGGTTTCCAGCAACAATGTAACAAATGCATTGGCTGCTGTAACAACCACAAACTTGCTGTCTTGTAACAATTTATAAGAAGCCCAAAGCAGGCCTCCTGGAATCCAGTTATTGTCAGGTCTGGAGACACTGGAGAAGAATCTTCCCATTGCCATTTCCAGCGACAGCTCTTACATCTGGCACCCTGGTCCCTCGTCAAAGCCAAGAACAGTGTCTTCTGTCTCTGATGGTGCCATCACCATGACTTTCTCTTGATGACCACAGATGGTGCATACAACCGGATTGAGCCTGTGCGTGACAGCCAGGGCAGCCCCCCCCCGTCCAAGCTCTTAACTTCAACCATGCCTGCAAAGTCACCTGCTTGAGGTTGGATTGTATCCCCATTAATTCCTCACCATCCCATGCCACATTGTGATCTCACTCTGATGCAGACGAGGGTAGGATGAGATCATTAAGCCTGAGAGTGTGTCACTGATGTCCTTAAGAAAAGGGTAAGTTTAGACAGGGCACAGAGACAGGACACAGAGGCAGACGTGCAGAAGGAAGTTGATGGGGAGATATTTGGGTGCAGACATGTGGTACAAGCCTGCACCAGGGAGCGGGGTCAGTTGCTCACAGCCCTCGGCAGGAGCTGGCACTGCTAGCACCTGAATTTTAGACTTCAAGCCCCTAAAGCAGTGAGACAGTACTTTGGTGTCTCATTTAAGCCACCCACATGGCGGTACCCTGCAGCCGTGTTCCTAGCAAACAAACATGCTTGCTGTACAGCGTGAGGTAGCACGTTCCCAGACTCTGGGGGCCGCAGCCTAAGCAGCATAGAGTACAGAGAGGTTAGACAGTGGATCCTTACCACACACCCACTTGACTTCATCTCGGTTCTGTGCTCCGTAGCCGCTCGGCCTAGAAAGAAATGGCACTCTTTCAGCGAGGTCTAACCTGTTGACATTTGCAACACAACCTTGTCATCTACGGCATCCAGCTGAAAATTGCACAAGGGAATATCACTCCTCAAAACTTCTAATGTTTTTCCGGGCGTTGGTTGCTCACGCCTTTAATCCCAGCACTCGGGAGGCAGAGGCAAGCAGATCTCTGTGAGTTCGAGGCCAGCCTGGTCTACAGAGCAAGTTCCAGGACAGCCTCCAAAACAATGCAGAGAAACCCTGTCTCAAAAAACCAACAAAACAAAACAAAACAAAACACTTCTAATGTTTTAAGTTTGTTTAAATTGGCTGCATTTATAGCTGTCCTTGGTTGCATGTGGACACACCTGCCTTGAGACAGACTGTAGGTCTGTTGCTACATGCAGCCTGTCTGCACAACAGAGTCTGAATAATTGGTGTCTGTATGTAAACACTTGACCAGCCTCAGCATCTATAAACTACAATGAAAGGCGATGGCATTCTCTTATTTGTGAGAAGAATCAGGCATTGCTAATTATTTCCTAGAATAAATTCAAGCACATGCATAGTGAGGCGAGGGGTTTCTCTGCTAAAGCAAACCAGAGTCTCATGGTGTGTGTGTGTGTGTGTGTGTGTGTGTGTGTGTGTGTGTGTGTGTGTTTGAAGTAGTATCCTCAACCACAGGTGGACCTGTGAGAGCTTCATGGGGAAGGAACCTCTCATCTGCAGGTCTCCAGGCTGCATGTAAGTAACAGGGTCATGCTTCACACACACACACACACACACACACACACACACACACACACACACGCGCGCGCAGAGTTCCACGTCTCCTGCCACTGCACTGCCCTACCTGAGTCCAGACTCACTTGAGTTGGGTTGTGCTACAGGCTGTCCTAGATGCTTCATTGTCCTTTTATCCTCTGGCTGGAAGACCAAAGCAGCCCGTGAGAGATCTGAGACCCTCCCCCCTCCATCACCACCAGCTCAGGCTTAACAGCATCAGTGACAGCCCACGGCCCGCTAAGCCCAGGTTTCTCACCGTGGCACGTGTGGTCCAGCCTGTGTTTCCAGTCTCATCATTCATTGCTCCACACACCAAGCATCTACTCTGGTTCTTACCCCAGACCTGGTAGCTGACTACCAGGATTAGTGTCACTCGTGGTACATATAAAACAATGCATCCTCCTGATTCAGACTCTGTTAGCAACTATCCGAAGCACTTTCTGTGTACACTGTGGCTGGGGGCAGTAGCCAGGACCCTTCCTTTCTCTGGCATGGCCTTATCCATGTCCTGCCTAAGGTGGTATTCCCATCCATTTTATCCTCATGAGGCTCACCCTTCCGACACTGCTTTAGCAGGGGTCCTGTCTTTCTTCCAAGTTCTCATTTTCTGGTTATTAGAACCCACGCCTTAGTCATCATTCTTTTCCTAAGCAGCTATGGACTTTCTGTTTCTCCCAAAGGAACTGCTAACTGACTATGGTTCCGTGTCCCCGAGGCCACCCGATGTGCTGAGAGCCCCACACGGTGCCCAGGTACAGCATCGTGATGGCTCCCGTTGGCCGCGCATGCATCCATGATCTCCTTTCCCTCTGGACTTGACCTATTTAATTTATATTCCCTTGTTCTGAGGGCTACACGCTTGCATTTGGGTTTTTATTTTATGTACTTCTGTCACAACTTGCCTCAGATTCTTCCTGAACCAAAGCAGAAACAGGAATAAATTATTCATCTCAATATTCATACCACCTGGACAACGTCTGGCAGACAGAAACTACTCAGCAGCGATGTTAAATTTAATCACAGCTCAGAAGAGCTTTCGCCTATCGTTGTCATAGCATCCAGAGTTAAGTCTTCCGGGTGGCTTCCTGAAGGGGGGGGGGGGTTCTTATTAATGTCCCAGATCTCAGCTGTCCACTTGGTGCAGTTCCCATCCAGTGGCAACCGATTTCAGGAGCCCGGGCTCTTCAAGGTGGGCCTGTGATTAATTGTGAAATCTGGTGACTAGGTGACCAGGAGGTAAGGAGACAGAAGGGCGTCTCCCAGGGAACACGGAGTTTAAATGAAATAGCACAGACATAGAGTAGAAAACAGGTTTCAGGGCAGGGGGGGGGGCTCCAGGCAGTGCCAATAGACAAAGGATGAGCGACCACATCCGATCAGGCTGCTGTCGGAAGACATAGCAATTTAATGTCCCAAGTGTGGCAGGAAAAACAAGTGTGCTCAGGCCCAGGCTTAAAGACGTCAACATCAAATTGCTGCAGGGTAAAACTGTGAAGGAAAGAGGAGAAGAAAAAAAAAAAAATCAATCTCACTTTTTATACTCGTTTTTCTTCAATTTACATATAATGTTTCCTTGAGGAAAACCATCTTTTCAACTCCTAGGCATTCCATCCGAAGAAATAACAGCAGCGCCCGCGTCTCTTTAGTCTGGAGGTTTGTTTTTCCTAGGAAATACAGGAGCGTGTGCAGTCTTGACTTCCATTGTCACCTCAGGGTTCTGAAGGAGACCCTCACACTTGCAGCTCGCCGTTTTCAAATTGGAAAATTCCACTCAATTGGAATCCCCCCTCTCCCGTGTGTGTGGTGGGGGGGGGGAATCAAGGTATGCTTACCGATGGGTTGTTACACATATCCAAACACATGTGACACCCAGTACCTAATTTAAATTTGTTTCAGATAAGATTTATTTCCATCAAAAACATCAATTCAATGTGTTGACTTGTATCGTATTTTCTTCATGAAATCTTAAAAGAATCCAAGAGAATTCTTTGAACAGCCTGAAAGAGAAGTGTTAATTCTACGTAGATTAAAATGGAAAGTTGGTGGAAATGAGGTTGGCTATATCATCGCCGTGTGGGTAAGCGTGAGTGAGAGATGAAAGTCTTGGTCAGTTATAATGGCATCATCTTGGCCCAGTGAGCTACTTGCACTGGCTTGGAGTTTAGTCTAGGTCTCAAGGGGTTGACTACTAACCACAGGGGAGTGACCCCCTCAGCCATGCCCAACACGGAGGCCTAGTCCTGTGTAGTCTGAGGTGGATGGGCTGCAGATATTAGATTTGGCGTGGGGCTGAGGGTTATGTGACAGCCACTCAACAGCAGGGACAGCCTGCTCAGTTGTAACTGCATCTAGACTCAAACAAGTCTTTCATCTGTGACCCTGAATACCATACCAACACCATAAACCCAGTCCTAATGTGCCGGTTCTAAGGCTGGGGGAGTTGCTTACCTAACATGAGCAAGGTCCAGGGGTTAATTCCCAGTACAGAAGAAAAAAAAAAAAAGAAATAAAATTCTTTATCTAAATGGATACTATAGCGGTGGGAAGAGGAAGTATAACAATATTTCAAATAGGGTCCCAATGTCCCCAAGTAGTTTGGAGAAACTGAGGCGGACAGAGCATTTATTTGGTGGTAAGGTACTTGGTGCGCAGGCATGAGGAACTGAGTTCAAATCCCCCAGAACCTACATAAAGCTTAGCATGGCAGCTAACGTTTTCAAACGAGCAGACATCGTTGCAAAGCCAGGGGTCAGGATACATCCGGGACCTGCAATGCCATCCACAGAGAAATGGAAATGTATAAACTGCCTGACAAAGAAATCCAAATTAATCACCTTAGAGACACCCAGTGAGCTCGAAAATAAGAAACAATTACACAACATCAGGAGATGCCTTACCAAAGTGAGGCGTCTACAAAGAAAAGAGCCTTGCGTTGTTAGAGCTGAGGCCACTGCCAAGGGGGTGAAGGTCCCTATGGAGTTGCAGTAGCTAAGCAAACAGTTGGGATCTTAAGGAGAAAGAGAGAAAAAGGGGAGGAGGCGGGGGGGGCACAAACAAGCGCTGTCCAACGAAACGCAATGTATGTTATAAAGGTCCAGGAAGGAACAGAAAAATGAAAGGAATTAAAAGGCGATTTAAAGAAATACTGGCAGACCACACCCCAAATCTGCAGGAGACATGAACGTCCAAACGCGTGAACTCCAAGAGCCTCACACTATTAAACACAGAGAGCTCTCGAATAAGACACGACAAAGACGGAGTTTTTAAGGACATCAAAAGAAAATCACCCTGGGGATCCGAGGGACCCAGTGAAATGCTCTGTAGTTTGGTCAGCAGACAATCGGAAGGCCAGGAGAGAGTGTTAGGTTACAACTGAGAGGGTGGGGAAAATTATTTAGTAAGCAAAAGTAATAAAAAAAAAAACTGGCAACCTAGACTACCACACCAGAGAGAGCGACGGGCATAGGCCAGGCATGGCGGGCACAGCTTTAATCTCCCACACTCAGAGGCAGAGACAGGTGGATCTCTGTAAATCTGAGGCCAGTGAGGCTTACATAGTGAGACCCTGGAGGGAGGGGAAAGAAGACAGACAGACAGACAGACAGATGACAGACAAGATAAAGATTCCCCCCAGAAACCCCCCAGAAACACTAGAGCCCTGGGTTTCTCGAGTTGGAACAAAAGGATACTAATGGGCTACCATGAAAACTGTGAAACCATAAAACCCAACGTGAAGGTAAGAACAGGGTCAAATTCAGAATACTGTGTGACATGTGTCGTTTTGTTGTTGTTTTTGTTGTTGTTTTTTCGAGACAGGATTTCTCTGTATTATTTTGGAGGTTGTCCTGGAACTTACTCTGTAGACCAGGCTGAGGGGTACTGAGCCTTGCCTGGGCTCCACCCCCTGCTGTGTGGTCCTGGGAGCGGGGTGCGGGGAGTGTGTGAGCATGGAGGTGCTCACTCCTTTAATTTATCCACCCACGGAGTGTGAGGAATAGCCTCAACCTGGAAGGCTTGCTGTATGGATTAACAAACAACAAGCATAACCCTCTTTCAACAGTTCCTGCCCACCCCCAAGGGTGAGAATGACAGGAAGACCTGATGAGTTCCAGTGGTCCTGACTTCCGGCTCCCCTGAGGAGCGAGCTGGAAAAAGGAACAAGGAGCAAATCAGGTCACCTGCTTGTCCCTGTAAGTGTGTCAGTAGGTTGAGGGCAGCGGAAGCCTTGGACTCTGATCTTTATTTTCCGAACATAATCTTTTTTTCTTTTTCTAGAAGATGGCTAGTCCAAATAATATTTTAATATGGTTTAAACACTTTCCTGATTATATTAAAAACATATATGCTTTACTAAAAAAAGTAGGAAAATGAATAAAAGAGAAAGCACCAAACAGCGTATAATCCTGCTACCAAGAGACACACGCCATCAACATTTTGTATATATTTCACACTATAATTTGAGGTTGCTTTTTTCCGGAACCCGAGAGCGTTTTAAAATGAATATGTAAATTCATATTTAAAAGTTTATTATATACATAGCTGTATGTGTGTGGTTTTACATCCTTTTCTCAAGTGAGGTTATATTGTAGTTTTCCACCATATTTAAGTATTCTTTGGAAATAGCATTTCCACGACTTTTTAACATTTCGTCATTCATCTCCACCATTCTTGTCAGAATTTCTATAATTGGACCTCTTAGTTATTCTTGGTTTGCATTTGTGTAAACAATGCTGTCATGAATAGCACGGGGTGTTAATCTTGAGCAGCTGACGGGTTTCCGTGAGACAGTGTTTCTTAAGGTTGAATTTCTAAGCTAGAGTGTGTGACCATTAATCCGGTTTCTGATGCATGTCACCGAAGAGTCTTCAGGAGCGTTATCAACCCAGGTGGACCGTGCTGTGGGGGACAGGAGCAACCTCAGGATGTCCTGGCCTCATTTGAGGATCTGGGCTAAATGACTATTTCTTGTGGGGCATTTCCTTATAACGTTTATAAAACTAGGCTTTTTGGGGCCCAGTATGGATGAGATTTCTTTTTTAAGCCTTTAGATGTAACATTTTAGAACCCACTCCCATAGGACTATGAGATAAGAAGCCATCTACACTGCAGACTGACAGACTGTAGTCTGGTTGGTCTGGAACTCAGGGTGTAGACCAGGCTGACCCTGAACTCTTCCTCCCAAGTACTGGGATTAAAGGCGTGCACCACCACTCTCCTGCCCTAGATGCTCTCTCTCTCTTTTTAAAGATTCATTTCATGTTTAAACTTATGTGTGGGAATGTGTTCATGTGTGTGCATGTGGGTGTGTGTGTATGTGACAGTGTATGTGCATGTATTAGTACATGTGTGTGAGGGTGAGTGCAATACATGTATGTGTATGTGCGTATACATGCATGCGTGTGTGTGTGCATGCATGCGTGTGTGTGTGTGTGTGTACATGAATTAGTACATGTGAGGGTGAGTGCAATACATGTATGTGTATGTGTGTATACATGCGTGCGTGCGTGCGTGCGTGCGTGCGTGTGTGTGTGTTATGGACATGTGACTACCCTGGGTTGTGAGTTGCATGATATGAGTGCTGGAAAACAAACCTGGGTCTTCTGAAGCCAGCGCCCTTAACCACTGAGCCATCTCTCCAGCACCCTTAACCACTGAGCTATCTCTCCAGTGCCCAGACTTTTTTTTCTGACATTATTTTTTTATTTTTAGAAACACTCTTATTTACATATCCATCCCCCCATTCCCTCGCCCTCCCATGCTTCCCACCAACCCCCCCAACCCACCCACCACCAACTCCCCAGGGATAGTGAGACCCTCCATGGGGGATCATCAAAGTCCATCACATCATTTGGGGGTGGGCCCAGGCCCTCCTTTCCATATCTGGGCTGTAATAGTATCCCTCCATAGGGACCCCAGACTCTTTGTAACATTTATAATATTGACTATAAAATAAAGATACTATTATTATTATTATTATTATTATTATTATTATTATTATTTAAATTACAACATCTGGCCAAAGTCTTTCGCATTCTGCTTCATAAAGGACCAGCGTCCCATCACTTAAATGGTACAGACAAGGAAGTCCCTGCATCACTTAAATGGTACAGACAAGGAAGTCCCTGCATCACTTAAGTGGTACAGACAAGGAAGCCCCTGCATCACACTCATGCTGAGTCCCCTCTCCCCTAAAATATGTGATGCTCTCATTTAAGTCAGTGGCCTCTGGTTCATGGAACTCAAAAGTCTGAGTTAAGCTTGAAAGATGATTTGAAAACTTGTCTTCTATGTCTGCCACTTGAGCCCCGAAATATAATTGGTAAAATGATGGGGGTGGGGGGATGGTTAACTGTCATGGACATCATGTCCTGAAAAGCAAAATGATATCATCTAGAATTTAAACAAATTATCTGTGGTCTTTCTCAGTGTATATTACTGGATGAAGTAATGGGTTTCCCTGTGGCTTTGATCATATTCAGTCCCATCAC